CGGTACAATCTGTGTTCCGCCCAGGACAGGCCCCCCCCCCCCGTCGGCCACGCGCAGAGGGGGGTAGTCTAGGCCTCGATGGGGTCCGAGCAGATGGGGTCGGAGTATCGCGGCGCATCGCCAATGCATCGGCGATGCGGCTCGATGTGGAGCCCGCTTTTCTCCACGCCGACGTCGCCGAGGCATCGGCGACGTCTCCAGTGCGTCGCCGATGCATCGGAGATGCGGCGCGATCCTCCGACACCATCTACTCGGACCCTATCTGAGAGGCCTCTAGGGTAGAGGGAGGGGGAAGGCTTATTGGAAGCGCTCCCCTGCTTCTTAGAAGGCGCGAGCCCTCTCTGTAGATCTACGTGGGACTGGTGCCTTCTAAAAAGCGGCCTCCTAAGAAGCCTTCCCTCCTCCACCTACAGTCGGGCCGAGGTATAGGATCGAGGTCGGTTCGGGGAGGGTGCGCTGATGTTGATGTTTTTCGTGTCTGTTGGATATTATTGTGCGTCCTGGGGGAGGGTGCCCGCGAATATTCTTTGTTTTGGCCTGCGGAGGTTCTCATGTTCTTGAAGGATGTTCTTCTGTCTTACAGTCAGCGCGCCTAGTGAGGACGCGCGCCTTGATCTAGGGTACCCTTGTGTCCTTGCCTCTGCGGCCCGTCCTTTGCCGCTTTCGCTGGTCGCCCGTCGCCCGAACGATTCAGACTTCGGCCTCCAAGGGTCTTTTGCATCGTTGCCACCCGTCCTTCCCACACGTCTTGACAGTAGGTCCGACTGTACCCCCCGGTGCACGCCGCCAACCGTTCGAGGCCAGGATGCGAGGATGCATCCGTTCCGGAGAGTTGCGGGACGCTCTGAGAAGGCCGCGGCGCCCGGGACATCCTCCGGAGCCGCCAGACCTCAGAGATTCTCGATCCATCCTTGCCCGATTTTATCCTCGCCCTGGCCTTGTCTGATGCTTTTCCGTCCTGTAGGTCCGGCTGTGCTCCCTGGTGCGCGCCGCCAGACCCCCCTTCGGGGGCGGCTACGAGGGGGGGTGGATGACTCGGGGGAGGGGGGAATACCATGGCGTGGGCCATGCTATTTCCCCAGATTTCTTGGCGCCCCTTCTATTGTCATCACGTCCCTGCCCCCCCCCCCCCCGGGCCGCGCACGTGCCGCCGGCCAGGCTTTGCGGCCCCCCCCCCCCTGGACGCCCCCCCCCCCCCCGGGGCCGCCCCCGACCTCCCCCCCCCCGGCGGCAGGAGCAGCCCTGGGAGGGCGAGCCGCCCGAGGAGGAGCCGCCCGCGCCGGCCGACGAGGCGGGCCCGCCGCCGACCGAGGACCTTGCGCGCGCGCGCGCCTGGGGCGGCGGCCGCCGGCGGGCCGCCGCTTGGTCGGGTCGGGGGGACCGTGGACTCGGTGGCGAGGCCACCCGACGGATCTGTGCGACTCAAGTTTCCGGGCCTCCCTGACGGGGTTGGAGCAGATTCTCTAGGCTCAGGCCACATCCGCCGACCCCTATAGAAACTGTCGTGCCTCCAGGACTGCATTCCACGAGGCTTGCCCGAATCACGACGCGGCGCTCGACATCGTTCCTGTTGTTTCGTTGCTGTTATCGTGCCTCTTGGTGCTCTTTTGTGGCCTTTTGGCCTTTTGTGGTATCGTGGCCTGTCCCAGACAGGATTGGAGCAGATTTCGGGTACAGCCAGCACCCCAGGCACGGGGACCCCGCTATCAGTAGGGCCCCCGAGCCCATATATTGACCAGAATCACTGAACCAGGTCTGCCGTAGCTGTTTTTTTTCGGGTGACGGCAGTTCCAGTCAGTGGAACGGGGCGGGGGGGCGGCCCCCAGTATCACTAAGCCAGGTCCCACTAAACCCAGTTCTGCCAACGCCTGAGGAGGTTCGTTGACTCGGTGGCGAGCCCACCTGACGGATCTTTTCATTTCAAGTTTGCAGGCCTCCCAGACGGGGCTGGAGCAGATGGGGTCGCATGATCGCGCCGCATCGCTTATGCATCGGCGATGCGGCTCGACGTGGAGTCGACTTTCTCCGAACCGACGTCGCCGCCGCATCTCTGGCGTCACCGATGCATCGGCGATGCATCGAAAATGCATCGCCGATGCATCGGCGATGCGGCGCGATCCTCCGACCCCATCGGCTCTGACCCCATTTGGGAGGCCGCGAAAGTTCGACGCTACTCCGACTCCAGCTCGACTCAGTGTCGACGCAAGCTCGGCTCAAAAGTTTCACTCGGGTCGACGGACGTTCGATGCTGAGTCGACGCTTGAGTGGATCGAGTGGAGTGAGGGGCTCCATGAATGCTAGTAGTTCGTGATGATGCTGTTGTTGGTGATGGCGATGATGTTGATGTTGATGGTCATGATGGTGGTGGTAGTGATGATCATGATACTGCCAATGATGACGATGATGCTTATGAATAGTATGCTCATGATTATGACGATGATGATGATGGCCAATATGCTGATGATGCTGATGATGATGGTTCTGATGACGATGAGGCTGATGACGATGACGTCCCCGCCGCCGCAGACGGCGACGATGAGGATGATGATGATTGTGATGACGAGAGTGCTGATGCTGCTGATGATGATTGATTCGCCTGATGATGACTACGATGCTGATGGTGACGATGCTGATTCTGATGATGATGCTGCTGATGATGATGACGTCGCCGCAGCCGCCGTCGACGACGACGATTATGATGGTGGTGGTGATAATGTTAATTCTAGACGCTTCGCGTAACCCCACCAGCTGGCCCGAACCCCCTCGGTGGCTTACACACTGGCCCACGCCCCAAGAGGCAAGTGAGTGGTTTTGGCACGTTCCGCCTGGCAGTCTGACTCCACCTGCGGGTCCGACCTATTTCCGCCCTCCCCCCTTCTGCTGGCACACGCTCAGCGACTTTTGGGGTCCGCGTGGAGGCGCCTGGGCTTCAGCCTGTGCCTTCACGGTTGCCTCTTTTGCTGGCGCATGTCCAGCGTCGTTAATTATCTGCAGGTGCACTCTGCGCGTTGTCGCGCCAATTACCTGTCGCTGTGCCCCAGCCTCGGTCACCCCGCCCTCTGGACTTCTCCTTGCGGGCCGAAAATCAAAAAAAAGTAACCCCACCAGCCCATCCAGAAACGACGCCCAGATGAATTGCCTCGATCAGGGAAGTGGGCAGCACACAGAGGAAGGGTCCCCCAGTTGAGGCCTCTTGGAGCGTCTTGGGTGCCTCGGAGAGCTTCTTGGGGCCTCTTAGGGGTCTCTTGGGAGCATCTTGGAGGCCTCTTGGGCGCCTGTTGGGGCCTCCTGGGCTCCTCTTGGGGCCCTCTTGAAGCGCTCTTGGGAGCCTTCGGAGCGCTCTTGGGGGACATCGATCAACCACGACGCGAGCATTAGTTTGCGTTGCCCCTCGGGAGCCCACACAATCGCCACTTGGGGCGCTCTTGGGGCGCTCTTAGGCGCCCTTGGGGCCGCCTTGGGGCTTCCTGGAGCCTTTCTTGGAGCCCTCTTGGGCCATCTTGGAGCCATCTCGAGGCCTCGGATGGCCACCGGAAGCGAAAAGGCGAGACAGCTAAACACATAGAATCTCCTCAGGTTTTGGCATCTTCGGGACCTCCTTGGGGAGCTCTTTGGCCACTGGGAGCCGTCTTGGAGCGGTCTTGGGGCATCTTGGAGCATCGTGGGAGCCATTCTGAGACATCTTGGGGTATCTTGGGCCATCTTGGAGGTCATCTGGGGCCCTCCCAGGCACTCTTGGAGTCATCTTAACCAGTGCCCCCCCAGAGGCCAACATGTGGCTAAAACCTTTTTGTGACATCAATGATTTGGCAGTATCGCAGAGGCCTCTTGGAACATCTTGGGTGCTTCTGGGGGGTCTCTTGGGTTTTTTTTGGGGGTCTCTTGGGAACCTCTTGGGGGCATCCTGGGGGCCCCTTGGGACTCCCTGGCCACCTCTTGGGGCCCTCTTGGGGCACCCTTGGGAGCCTCGGGGGCCATCTTTGGGCCACCTTGGGTAAGATCGATCACAGGGGGGGCGGGCACTAATTAAGGTCCCCCCCTCAGGAGGCCAAAATGGGGAACCAACCCTAGTAACACCAATGCTTTTGGCTTCCTCGCCGAAACCGTTTTGAACGCTCTGGCACCTCGCGAAACCCCTTGTCCAGTAAAGCCCTCCCCGAAGGGGAAGAAGGATGGGTGGACGAGGAACCCCCCTAAGCCACCGACGCCCAGAGGGCTGGTGTAATTCTGGTGATGCTGCTGCTGCTGATGATGATGCTGATGATGATGCTGATGATGATCGTGACGACGACGATGGTGATGATGATGATGATGATGATGGGGATGATGATGGTGGTGGTGGTGATTATGGTGATGCTGATGCTGATGAGGCTAATGACGAGGCTGATCATGACGATGATGATGATGCTGATGCTGATGCTGTTGATGATTACGATGGCGGTGGTGCTGAAGATGATGCTGCTGATGATGATGCTGATGCTGCTGGTGCTGCTGGTAATGCTGCTGATGATGTGATATGCTGCTGGTGATGATCAGGGTAAGACTGATGGTGATGCGGGTGATGATGATGGTTTTGATGATCATGGCGATGACGATAGTGGTGGTGATTATGATAATGCTGATGATGCTGATGATGGTGATTATGGTGACGATGAGGAGGATGATAATGCTGATGATGATGATGATTATGATGGTGGTGGTGCTCAGGATGATGCTGCTGCTGATGATGCTGATGCTGCTGATGATGCCGCTGATGATGATGTGATGATGATGGTGGTGATGATGATGAGGCTAATGCTGATGGTGACGAGGATGATGCTGCCGCTGCTGATGATCTAGATTCTGATGACAGTGGTGCTGATGACGATGCTGATGGTGATGCTGATAATGATGACACTGATGATGCTGCTGCTGCTGATGATGATGATGATGATGGTTGTGGTGGTGACGATGATGATGGTGATGATGATGCTGATGCTGTTGATGATTATGATGGCGGTGGTGCTGAAGATGATGCTGCTGATGATGATGCTGATGCTGCTGGTGCTTCTGATAATGCTGCTGAAGGTGTGATATGATGCTGGTGATGATGAGGGTAAGACTGATGGTGATGCGGATGATGAAGAGGTTGCTGATGATCATGGCGATGACGATAGTAGTGGTGATTATGATAATGCTGATGATGCGGATGATGATGATGATGATGGTGACGATGAGGAGGATGATGATGCTGATGATGATGATGATGATTGTGATGGTGGTGGTGCTCATGATGATGCTGCTGGTGATGATGCTGATGCTGCTGATGATGCCGCTGATGATGATGTGATGATTCGGATGGTGATGCTGATAATGATGACACTGATGATGCTGCTGCTGATGATTATGATGATGATGGTGGTGGTGACGATGATGATACTGATGATGATGCTGATGATGATGATGATGATGCTGTACTCCTGCTACTGATAATGCTGATGCTGATGATGATGATGACGTCGCCGCCGCCGACGACGACAAGGACGATGCTGATGCTTATGATGATGATGCTGGTGATGATGATGATGGTGGTGGTGGTGATCATAATGATAATGATGATGCAGATGATTATGATGACGAGGACTTCACCGCCGCCGCCGTCGACTACGACGAGTATGATTGTGGTGGTGCTAATGATAATGATTCTGCTGCTGCTGATGATGATGATGCTGTTGCTGATGATGTGATGCTGGTAATGATGATGCTGGTGGATGGTGATGGTAATGCTCATGATGTTGCTGATGCTGATGATGCTGCTGCCAATGATGCTGATGATGACGATGATGCTGCTGATGATTGTGATGATGCTGATGATGCTGATGACGATGATGATGATGATGATGATGATAATGATAGTTGTTGGGATGAGGTTACTGATGATGACCTTGATGATGATACTGCTGACGATGATGTTGGTGATGATGACGATGATGATGCTGATGATAATGATGATGATGCTGATGATAATGATGATGATGATGATGATGATGATGGTGATGATGATGCTGATGCTGCTGATACTGATGATGCTGATGATGATGATGCTGACGATGATGACGATGGCGTCGCCGCCGAAGACGACGAATATGATGCCGACGAGGATGATGGTGATGCTGGTGGTGGTGGGGATGATGATGATATCAAGTATGATGATGCTGATGGTGATGTTGATGATGATGCTGATGATGATGGTGATGATGCTGATCCTGATGCTGATGCTGCTTCTGATGATGATGATGATGATGATGAAGATGATGCTGATGCTGCTGATGATGATGATTATGCTGATGATGATGATGATGGTGATGATGATCATGATGATGCTGCTGCTGCTGCTGATGATGATGATGATGATGATGATGATGATGATGATGATGATGATGATGATGATGATGATGGTGATGGTGATGGTGATGGTGATGCTGATGAGAGGGGGTCACGTAGGAGAATGGATGAGCGGAGTGGAGGGAGGAAACGGAAGGATGGGGGGCGGATGTGGACGGGGAGACGGGTTGCATCGAGACTCCAGACGTGTGGGGCGGAGAGGACGTCCAGCGCGTGCTTGACACTCTGGGCGTAAAGGAGCCCGCGGGGGGCGCTCTCCAGGAGGAGGAGGAGGAGGAGGAGGAGGAGGAGGAGGAGGATAAGGATAAGGAGGAGGAGGAGGAGGAGGAGGAGGAAAAGGAGGAGGAGGAGGCGGAATAGCAAGAGGAGGGGGTAGGAGGGCGGACAGGGGGAGGAGGGGGGGTAGGATTAACAGGAGCGGAGAAGGGTGTTTGCAGTGCGCCTGCAGCGGCAAGCAGAAGGTGCCCAGTTCGAGGCCGTTGATCTCGGAGGAACCGAAGCACGGCGAACACCTCGAAGACCTTCAGAGCGTAGCCAACCTCGGAGGACCGAGTGAAGCCAACTCCTTCTCTTTGACTTTCACGGCGGGCTTGAAGGGCTTGAATCTGCCCCCCGAAGTCCTGCTTGAAGTCCTCCTTCTCGTACTCCTCATGCAAGGCAGGCTCGAAGTGGCCCACGGAGTTGCTCTGCTTCACGTTCACCTCAAGCGAGGCAGGATCAGAGTGGCCCGCGCGGTCGAACCGCACCGCATCCTCCGAATTGAGCGGGGCGGGCCCGAAGTGGCCCACAGAGTTCTCGGTCGAGCAGTTCACATCCTCATCACGCGAAGCGGGCTCGACGCGGCCCTCGGAGAGATTCTCCACGTCCGTCCGGGAGGCGGGCTCGAAGCGGCCCGAGAGAGCTCGCCGGCTGGGCTGGTCGGGCTCATCGTCGCAGCTCGGCAGCTCAGAAAGCTCCCGGTCTTGGACGGCCTCAGGACGAGGGTCTTAGCCCTGTCGTCGTCGTGCGTGGTGTCGTTTAGCCTTGGCAGTGGCAGCCCTGGACGGCCTCTCGTCGGAGGGCGAGTCGAAGTCCAGCGGCGGGCAGACGCTCAGCCCAAGACACTGATCCGCCTCGGGGGCGTCTGCGGGCTCGCCCTAGGCTCGTTCTCCAGCACGCCCTTCAACATGAAGTCTCTCGGCGGCGGCGTGTGCGAGGGCGCCAAGAAGACGCCTTCTCCAGCGAAGTCGCCATGGCGCGGACCGTATGTTCTGGGGGGTCGTCACCGTTGCAGTACCCGTCGAAAGTGTAGAGCTCTTCCCGGCTGTGATGGCTCTTGGAGGAGCTGGGGGCTCGATGATAGAACCGTGAGGTGGCTCGATGATCCACTGTGAGGAGCACCCGCTCTTGTTGTTCTTCTTGTGCATGTAGTGTTTCTCATTCGCCTTTTTCAGCTGCTTCTTCCACAAGTTGCAGTCCTGCTAGTCCGTGTGGGGCGCCTTGCTACACCTCTTTAGCAGCTTGACCCGCCGCCGAGGTAGAGAGAATGGTGTCGTGATCGTACCTTTCCATCGGTTCCAAAGACGTGGGCACGAGTGTGTTACTCGTCCCCAAGTTCACGTTCTCGTGGAACTTCTTTATCCGGACTGGGGGCGTCTCCCAGCTGCCCTGTGGCTCCCCTCCCCCTCCCCCTTCAGGCTTCAGGCTTCGGACCGCTCTGTTCTAGCTGAAATCTCCTCCTCCTCCTCGTCCGATCCTCCCTTTCCCCACCTTCCTCCTCCTCCGTCCTTCTCCTCCTCCTCCGTTCTCCTCTCCCCCACCTTCTTCCTCCTCCTCCTCCTCCTCTGTCCTCCGTCCTCCTCCCTCCGTCCTCCTCCCTCCTCCGCCTCCTCCTCCTCCTCCTCCTCCTCCTCCTCCGATCCTCCGCCCTCCCCTCCCTCGCCCTGGCCCGCGCCCGAAGGAGGGGCGGGACGGCGTGGAGGCGCTCCGCAAGGGGGGGCGCCCCGACCTCGCCGAGCGCCTGGAGCAGCTGTCTGCCCGGGGCAAGGGTGCGGAGGAGCCGCGCTGGCCGCCGAGGCCGCCGCCGTCGGCGCCGTCGGCGTCGCCGTCGTCGGCGTCGTCGGCGTCGTCGTCGTCGTCATCGTTTCCGTCGTCGGCGTCTGCGTCGGTGTCGGCGTCGGCGTCGGCGTAGGCGCCGGTGTGTTAGTTGTCGTCGGCGTCGTCGGCGTCGGCATCGTGGGGGTTTGTGTTTTGTCTCGGGGGTTTGTCGAGGCATCTGCAGCTGGCCGTTTAAGTTGAAATAATATTGCAAATCTCACAGTAGCGGGGGGCGGGCCCAGCCAAGTGTTTGAAAGCGCGTTTGGGACCCCCCCCCAAGAGCGATGCAACAGCGCGTCCAGCATCGAGACCCCCAATCGCTCTGCTTCGACGAGGCCCGCTAGACCCCCAACAAAAGTAGATCCCCCCATTAGTACGAGATCCAGAGTATGGCTTCACCCTTGATCGGCCGACCGAGGAGGACGAGAAGGATGATTGGGAGCAGGAGGAGAAGGAGGAGAAGGAGGAGGACGAGGAGGAGGAGGAGCAGGAGGAGTGGGAAGGAGGAGCAGGAGGAGGATGAGGATGAGCAGGAGAAAAATGGAGGAGGAGGAGGAGGAGGAGGAGCAGGAAGAGGAGGAGGAGGAGGAGGAGGAGGAGGAGGAGGAGGAGGAGGAGGAGGAGAAGGATGATAAGGAGGAGGAGGAGGAGGAGGAGGAGGAGGAGGAGGAAGGAGGATGAGGAGGTGCAGGAGGAGGAGGAGGAGGAGCAGGGGAAGGAGGAGGAAGAGGACGAGGATGATGATGAGGAGGAGCACGAGGAGGAGCAGAGGGAGGAGGAGGACCAGTGTAAACCCAAGAGTCATCAACGATGTTTGAGTGAACCATCTTTCCAGGCTTCGTCTTCATAGGCGCCTATAACGGTTCGTTTCCATTGAGGGAACTTCCTCGTTGGAAGACAACCGTTTGAAGACGTTGAAGCATTCCAAAACACCGTTCTCGGGATTCTTACGCGGATCAACCTGACCTGCTGCGTCCGGACAATCTGGAATCTTGCCAGAAAGCCGTTTTTGGGAGTTCAACACCGCGAATCAACATAACCTCTGCGCCCGCATAATCTTGAATCCTTTCAAAACACCAATTCTGGTACGATGATGATGGGAATCCGTGAAACTCTTGTTGCAAATGTTTAAAACGAGAAGCCGCGGCGCTAAGGCTAGAGCCACATTTTGAAAACGACCCGCCCTCCATTTCTGAAGCTGTTGCTATTTCTTAAGCTGTGGAATCATCAAGGGTGAGGGAGTCTCAGGCGAAACGCCCAGCCCGGCCTAAAAACTGGCCCCGGGGTGCGACAGGGAGAAGTTATTTATAAGGAACAGGAGTGGAGGGGGAGGGGAGGAGGAGGATGAGGAGCAGGGGGGAGACTGCCGGGGCCGCAGCCGGCCGCTCCGCAGAGGAGCCCGCGGCGGAGCTGCCCCCCGAGGACGGCCGCTGCTGCCCCTGTTGCTGCCACTCTAGGGCGTCCTCCCTCCTCCGCCTCCTCCGCCTCCATATGGGGGGCCGTATGGGCAGAGGGGCACTCCATATAGGCAGAGCACTGTCCTTAGATGTTCAGGCCAAGGCACTGAGACCCATCGCTCCCCCAGCGTTCCATCCATCCATCCATCCATTCATCCATCCATCCATCAATCCTCTGCCTCCTCCGCCTCGTTGGACGCCGTGTTTGTTTCACGGAGGTCGCTCACATCGAAGGAGGAGAAACAAACGACACAAGCAGAAACTTTCGGCGCTCCGCTCGGGTATCTTGGAGCCGCGCTGGGCCCGCCCGGCGGCAACTCCAGCGCCGCCCCTGGCGCGCTCTGCGCGCCAGGGGGGGTGTCCAGCGCAGATCCAAGAGATCCGCGCGGAGCGCCAACAGTTTGTGTGTATGGCGTTTTTCTTCTTCTATCACAGCGCGCGACCTCCACCCCACGCTTAAACTTTAGCCTCCTCGGTCATGCCCTACGGCCCGCATAGGCGCAAACTTATCCTCCGCCTCGGCGTCCTCCTCCGTTCCCTTTCTCTGCTCTGTTCCCCTGTCGCCCCCACCACCCCGTTTTGACTATTTTCGATTTTTTTGTGCGTATTTCTTATCTTTCCTCCAAACTTCGCCTGTATTGGGATGTGCCCGTCCTAAAATTTGTTCTTCCTCGGGGGCAGCGAGGGTGCTTCTCCTGTGGGAGCCGCGCCAGCGCGCAGGACCAGTGGTGGCTGCCAGCGGACGACGATGGCCAGGGCGACGCCGAGGAGGGGCGTCAGCAGCGGACGGGACGACTGGGCGGGACGACAGGACGCGGTCTGGGATCGATATGTTCCAGGGTTTTTTCTTCGGGGGGGGGGGTCTAGCGGGCTTCTCGTTGCCGCGGCTGCGTCGCCTTTGAAATTCTGACAGGTCTGGGGCAGATCTTTCGCCTCCTGGACTCCAAGATCCAGCGGCTCAGCGCACATCGATTCAGTCTCTGTTATGTAATCGCTTCGCTCATTCCGCCGGCCCTGGAACGCTATTTGGGGCCTCTTGGGGCCGTCTTGGGGGCTTCTTGGGGGCTTCCTGGGAGCGTCTTGGGGCTCCTTGGCGGCGCATTGGGCTCCCCTGGGGCCTCTTGGGGGGCTCTTGGGGGGCCCTCGGGGCGGGAGGGGGGGTAGTCGATTGCAGCCCACCCCCTCGGAGGCCACGATCCTCGTGAGGCGTGGCGAAAAATAGCCTCCCCCCCGGGGATCGCCCGGGACCCAGCCGGGGATCGGCCGAGGTACTTTTCGTCCGGGGCCCCCCAGGGGCCGCCCCGCGCGCGCGAACTAGAAATATTGTTAAGTAGCTACCAGAGATCTTAGCACGCCTCTGGCCCGTTGGGCCGGCGAATTACAGTTTCTGCCGTGGGGGGCCGTCGGGCCTGGGACCTACCAAAAACAGACTTTGGATGAACAGCTAGCGCGGCGGAAGAGGTACAGAGGTCCTGGGTCGCACTTCTGCAGCACATGTAGCAGCCATGTCCAGAGCGGAGGCGGAAGGAAGGGCTTCATCGAGGATTGAGGATTTATATTTGTGTGCTCGTTTACCTGCCATTTGTCGTTTGGAGACCTTCCTCCTCATCCTGCGCCTCACCCGCTTCCGGGATTAAAGTATCCTCCTTCTCCTTTTCCTTTCTCCTCTCGCCTCTCTCCGGTTAATTATGTATAATGTTTTCTCCTCCTGCTTCTATTCTCTGCCTTCTTCCCTTCCCTTCCTTCCATGTCCTATCTAATGGAATTCGGCCCGTCCCACCACCGTGCCTGGATTGTGGGTATGAAAAGCCCATTGGATGTTCGTTGGGATCTCGTGGGAGGCCTCTCGGGGACCCCTTGGAGGCATTTGGGAGGACTCTTGGGGGTCGTTTTGGGGCCTCTTGGGGCCTCTTTTGAGCCTCTCGGGGGCCTCTTGGGGCCTCTTGGGGGCCTCTTGGAACCTTCGCTTGGGTCGGAAGGCTCGGCTTCTCGATTCGTGCTCCCCCTCTCTTGGGCCACCTTTTGATGCCGTCTTGGGGCCCTCTTGGGTGCCCCTTGGGCCGCCCTGAGGCCCGCTGGGGACGTTTTGGGGCCCTCTTGGAGGCTTCTTGTCTTGGAGGCCTGTAGGGCCGTCTTGGAGCGTCAGGAAGCCGAACCGGCGAGAACGACAACAACTTGCAAACACATGCGGCAAATCAATGACTTGGGCCTCTTGAGGCCCTCCTTAGAGGCCTCTTGGAGGCCTCCTGGGGCATCTTGGAGGCCTGTTGGGCCTTTTGAGGGTCATCTTGAGCTTGTTGGAGCAATCGTTCGGCGACTCGTGGCCCTCTTGGACCGTCTTTGGGGGCCTCTTGGAGCCCTCTTGGCACGTGATCTGATGGTTGTGGTGGTGGTCATGCTGCTGCTGCTGTTGCTGCTGCTGCTGCTCATGATGACGCTGATGACGATGGTGACGATGCTGATGATGATGGTGATGATGCTGATGCTGCTGATGATGGTGATGATGGTACTCTCGTTGATGATGATGGTGCTGATGATGCTGATAGTGATGATGTTGATGCTGGTGATGCTGCTGCTGATGAT